TCCCCCCCCCTCGCCTCTAGCCCAGAGAAATTACAGTCCATTTGAAACACAGAGCATCCCTGTGAAATCTTAAAATCAGAGATCTTTGTAAATTCACAATCTGTCGTAAAGCACAAGAACAGTGGGAGAACACAATCTCGACAACACTGTTAAAGTGAATTGAGGCATTACATGTTCCAGACTGATGAAACTACAGTGCAAGTGTGACAAGATTTGCCAGAATGAACTAAATGGCTTAGTGACAAACATACAAAGGTAGTTGTCGTTTAGTTTACAGTGTGGGAGAATGTTATTGCCTTCTTTATCTGATTGCAATTTTTGCAGCGACAAAAAACAAGATGACAGTGAGCACACAAACACTATGGACACATGCAAGACCAGAATGTCTTTAATCAAGTACTTTTTTCCTCGTATCGAACGCTAAATGAACGTGGGGAATCTTACTGACATAATACAAAACAGTGGAATAGACACTAGACACAATTCATGCAAATATATTGCTGTTTACGTATTGGATAAGAAATAACTGCCGAAGAGATGATGTAATTCAGGTTTCCCTGTGAAGATAAAATATGGCTTATATTCTGATAATTAACCCTTCTCGCTTGATCGATTGATCTGTCACTAATATCTAAAGCTCCTCGCGAATCGAAATGTGTGAACGGTAAATGGTGTAGTCGGTGTTTTGCTCTAGTGTGCTCTGTTCTCACCGAAGTCAGTACACGCTAAAATAATATCTAAAGCTGCGTGTGCTTGAGATTATTCAGGGAATTACTTCTTCAGCATGTCCTGCAGTGGGCCCGGGAGATACTTCATCACCGTGGCCATGATGTTTTCTTCCTCGTCGTCATCTCCGCAGCCGGATGGTACTGCTTTCTTTGGACGGGTCAGACTGCCTTCACTCGCCTGCTCCATCGCTGCCTGTGCTTCCGCTTCGGCCACCTCACGCTTCTTAATGCCATACTGTTACACAACCATAGAGACATTTAAAAGTTTACATTAAAAAGTTGTATCAATAAAAAAGCACTTAAGTTAAAGAAACTCGGACACCGTTTATATTTGTCTACAGAACTAAGTTCAATTATGCACTTTTGAGTCTTTAGTCAAATGTATCCAAACATTTGAATCATGTGATATGATACTGAATGATTACTGTGCTCATATACTTTAGTGGTACTTTAGAAAATATCATGGTACAATGCTTGTTACAATTTTTATAAGTTTAGCCAAATATTGTGAAATGTTTTAAGAATTAACCTCAAGTTGTGTGCATTATGTTCTCTGAGTAATAATTTGTCACCCAAAAATGAACATTTTGTCATCCTTTACTCACCCTTGTGTCATTCCAAACCTGTATTTGCCTCCTATGGAACATAATGGACCTTTTTCACAGACTGTGATGACTTGTTTCCACATTTATTAACATCATGAATTTATATATAAAACAGTTCGTTCTGGTTCTCAAATCTGATTGGTTGAGAACCGTGA